CCAGTAGAAGATCCAGGAGAAAGGCAAGACTATTCTGGTGCAAATATACGGAAGGACTCTGCTCCAGACTTCAACTGTCTTGTCGAAAATCAGACGCTCGCACAGGATCGGGAACGTTGGAAGCACTGTCCGACGTGTTTGCCTCCGCAACCCGAAAGGAAAAGTGGTTATGGAAGAAGTAGAAGATGCCGTCCAGTTCCGCATTTTGTTATATGAGCTGCATTTAATAATGATGTTCATTCGTCATAAGAGCTGCATCATCGGTGATGACTTTAGTCACAAAAACGCCCCATTTATACCTTGAAATGTTAAAAATTTAAATTCATCATTAGTTCGATCGTTCTTGTCGAAATTGGCTTGACTCATCAGTCGCATCAAACCTAAATGCTGAACAACAAGTGCATTGGACACTCGAAACAGCAGAATAAAGAATTACCTAAGGCATATTAGACGGATTTACGGTATCGTCACGGAGCAGCGAGAGCTAAAACATGCGATATTGTGTGTGTGGGGGGAGCTGGTGGACCTTAAAGCACACTTTGCGTCATTCTCTTACAAAGACACATGGTCACACGAATAACTGAAACTTCATGACTGGATCGCGCACGCACAGCCTGGCTTATGACGTTTGTCGCAACAGCAGTTCAAATCGAAGAAAACGCGCGAAAATTCGGCTATCCTCCACAACGAACACTGAATTCCATCTGAAACCTGACAAGAACGTGTACTGGAAAGAATTAGCTAATGCAATGAAGCACGCAGCGCGGCTATCGTAAGGGATACAAAGAAATTGCATGAACTAATTCGCAAATCAGTGTGATCAGTCGAAAAATATGATGAATTAATCCATGCGCAGCACAACTGGTGAGTCAGCAAATACCAAATCGCTGCTAGAACTGATCGGTGGAAAGGATGTTTTGAAACCCTTCTCAAATACCCTACCCCCAGAAGTTTCACTCCAACATTCGGCATAATAGAGAAAAAGCGAGTTGGCGAGTAATGCTCGTCCTTCTGTTGATCTCCCTCAATTGCGAACATAACTGTAATTATAAAACCGCTGACGACAAATATAGCCACAGAGAAAGACCTGTCAGCAAAGCAATATCACAAAAATCAGTCAGAAATTGTCGATTACTTATCAGAACTGTTTCGTCAAGTATGGTCCGAAGAGCTGGTGCAAAAAGATTTAATAATGCACTGTTGCTCTCATTCTTTAACACGAGTGACACAACTGTCAAAAACTTGATTGAAGTAGCTTGAAACATCTTTGTTACACTATTGCTTCGGAGGGTTTAAGCCACCCAAGACTAACGTACAAGACAAAAACTTCGCGTTACGCCGCACACTGGAACCCAGATATATGCCATGAACACCTCAGCAGTGTTCGATTCGATCTATCGGGACTTCCTGTGATGCACTATGGAAATGGATTGTATTTCCCAAAAGCTTGCAAACCTAATTAAGGCACAACTACAGAGAAAGATGAACAAGAGTCAGCACCTACAGCGAAATGACGGATGTTCTGACATTGATTTCAGCATCCATAATGGCTGCGTCCACTTCCAGGTCGAATTCATCCTCGCCAACCGCTTTATCCTTCTTCTTAGATGTGACATCTAATCCCTGAGTCAAAGATTTGAAGAAATTGGAATCGTTTAACTTAATGCATTTGCAAATAATCACATAAGATTGATCGACCGTATATCTAACGCCACAATCCGTGTCAGTTGCAACATTATCCAGGTATATGTTGTTCTGAAAAAACAGCCACTACATTAGCTAGGACACATGGTAAGACGCCCATTAAGACAAATTACAATCAATACTACTCCGATTCATGGACAGTATCGGAAAAGAGAAGGAAAAGTTAAGACCCAACGGGACAGCATCAGAATAACAGTTGAGGTGTATTCTGGGCTAGCGGTGTACGATAACAAACGGTGCAAGAAGGACTAGCTGAAAATGATGGCGAGCATTACGCAGAGGCGGAAGGCCGTGATCAGGGATGCCACTGGAACAGGCTAAATCACTCATGGTGACAACCGTAATTAAATAACGAAGGTTCACACCGGATGTAAGCTACTCTTCTGTGACATTTCAGTAGACTGAATGAAATTCCAGCTTGCATTAAATTTTTAGTACTGCAGAAGCTGAAAGCAAGTCTCAAACACCCTGAACACAAGACTGGCCTTTTTATCACATAAATTACGTATTTCTAAGCAGTGAATCAAGAGACTTTCGATAATCAGAATGTAAGATTTGGAAAAAAATTTTAACTCTATTCTTCAAAACGCAATCTCGAAAACCGGAGTACGCAAAAATACTTACATCCCTTGACGATGTTCTGCACATGAAGATACCCTGACAAAATAAAGCCGAAAGACTTTAGGTCAATAGGCACCTTGACCCGTGAAGAAAATATGAAGATAAAAATCTTTACACCAACGAACTATGCCGGGGAAATGAAAGATAGCTACATCTTACCCAATGCTTTGATAGTCAAAAGCTACACACTCCGGTTATTAAACTAGTTAAAACCTGCGGATCGCATGTCTTCATCAAATCAACTTACGATTTGGAAATGCTCACAGAAGGAAACTCCATTGACGTTACGCTTTTCTAACACACGTTCCGTTCTGTGCTACGTTACATTCTACTGCATATTCTGTTTCTAATACATCCGGCAACCATTATGGTTTGTTCACAGATTTCTGTACAATTTTGTGTGCTCTAGCTGAGATAAAAAGTATTTACAGAAGAAAGAGCATACAAACGGCTATATTACATACAGTGCATTTTTCAAACCTCAGCCGAATACTTCACAACTTTTCCTTGAAGAAAATTCTCAGGCATAGGTAGAAATGTTTTATACATCTCTATATCTGACACTGTGTACAATGGAATCCAATTTGTGGTGTCTTTTTCAGTCTCTTTCACCATCGAGGAACAAAATTATCAGCTGATGTTGATCCATACCTGAATAAAAGCTTTTCCAATACTTTTCCATAGACTCCTGTTTCCTGCTATCTTCATCGATCTTGATCGAGCGAACTTCTTCAGCCATCGACTAGAAGTCTCCTCATGGGCTGTTTTCACTCTCACTGAACTGAATCTAACGTCTTTCAGGTCCAGCGATATTCGATTTTCTTACAATTCTCTTACAATTGCCTTACAGCCCATTAACCTTCAACTTGTTCACTCAGACAGTGATATCGCAGACTCCTGCATGCACTATTATCCATTCTATTTTTTCTTGATATTTCAGACACGTCTTTCCATGCTGCTTTACTAGGTCTGCAGTTGATGGACAGCGTCCAGGTTTCGGGCATACAAATTTCACATCCGTAGGTTAGCACTGGGAGCACACGCTGGTGGAAAACAATCTGCTTCAAACAAAAAGAAAAAGGCAGTTCTCCGCACCGGAGCATTTTCAGTCTTTCGAAACTGTTTCATGTCGATTTTATTCTTTTGTTGATTGCGCATATACGGTTTACCATTCTGGCAATGACATCTCACAGAGAGACGTAGTTTCCACGTCTTCAATTCTTAATACGCTTACCTCAACATATCGTGAGGTCACTTGTTTGTTAAACATGACCTGAGCTTTCTTCAGCTTCATTTTCAGTCCTACTTCGATGATGACG